TGGGAAACAGAAAGTTGGAGATTCTCTGGATGTGGGGGAGAGAGGGGTGGAATCTTAGAATCAGTTTCCTTGTTAATTTGCTTATTAATTTTTGCAAATATGTAGTAAGTCTTATTGTTTTGGAAAACATATCCAGATTTTAATTTAAGGATGGTCTGGGGATTGCAACCTTTGGATCAAGCTGTAGTTAAAAGTGCCAAACAAACCCCTCCAAATGGCCTCCCTCTCACCACATCCATTCTTCGTGCTCCTCACTTCTGCCTGTGGGTCCCTTGTTGGTACCTGGTCCGTTTGTGGTGTTCTTCCAGTTTCTGGATGCAGTGGGCTTGGAGTGTGGTGATCCCTTTACAAGGTTTTATTTTCCACACATTAAATACCTCATAGTTTCAAAGGTCTTGCTCAGGTTCAAAATAAAAACTTTAGACAAAAATCACCTTCCTTTCCCTTTAGCTCCTCCCTGAACCCCCCACCCCCCATCCCATGAGGTGCACCAGGGCTTCTGCTGCGATTCCTGCTCCCATGCCCTTTGCTATAACCCTCAGGGTGACCTCTGGCTCCTAGGTCTGCCAGGCTTCCCTCTGCAGCTGCAGGCCCACCTGCCTACTCAAATCCAGCCGCAGCCCCAGGACTAACTCACAGCTGCTCTGGCTTAAAACTCAAGCCCTCAGGGGATGCCTTGGAGTTGGGGGTGGAAGAGGGGGAAGGAGGAGGAAGGGATAAGAAAGGGGAAAAAAGAAACGGAAAGAAAATGAGACCTCTCACTGTGGCCAACTGCTTGCACTCCCGGTCTGAGCTGACACAGCAGAAAGGGGGTGGAGGCGGGGAGGAGGCAAGAAAAGTCAAGTTAAAGCACCATCTCGTGTCTTCCTGATTCTCATTTTCGTTGGCTCAGGGCACAGCCAGCCTCTCAAAGGCTTGTTTCAAAAGGAAAGCGGGCGGGTGGGAAACGAATCTGGCTCCTTCAGTTTTCCATGATCTTGTTCAACCCAGACACAAATTTGGCCAATAAACCTAACTCTGGAACTTGACTTTAACATGGCATTTGGACCAGGCTTGGAGTGGAAGCCAGGTGGAGGCCAAACCCCTCAGAGGAGCAAAGGCTCAATTCATTTTTATTTATGTATTTTTTTTTTCTTTCCCAGAAGCATATTTTTTTGTCTTTTTTTTCCTGCAATTTCTCAGCGACATGGAACTGAAACCCAGAACCCACTTGTATCCCAAACGCAATGTCCCACAGACACAGGAGAGCTCTCCCAGACCCGGGCAAGTATGCGCGCCACCCAGCCGCGCAGAAAGCCGCCAGGCTCCTTCTCCAAACAAAGCCCAGAGCGAAGCCGGGTCCTTCCTTGACTCCACCCAGCTCACCATATTTATGGAGCTTGGCCAATAAATAACTCCTGTCTTCCGCCTCCCCTCAGGCTCACACACATGCCTTCTGTTTTCTATACCTTTCTAGGCCCCTGAACGGGCCAAAATAAAATGCAGGACCCGGCGCGCTCCCAGCACCCAGCTCGCGGGCGGACCCCCTCTGCGGTTGCTCAGCGACGTGCCTAGCAAAACACCAGGCTCCGTCCGCCCGCCCTCCGCTCTTCCTCCCAGAAGCTTTGGCTGCTTGCCACCTCGCTCTCCTCAGCTCCCCGTTTCTGATTCTAGAAATGCACTCTTTTTTTTGGTGTAGAAAGAATACATCTCTCTCTCTCTTAATATATATATATGTAAATATATAATGGGTGTATGTATATATCATCATATACTTGTGATGTGTGTCACTCACACACATATCACCTATATATCTGTATCTTTATATGGTGGCGACTGCGGGAGGAAGAGGCAAACCGAGGTTCCTACTGCAGATTTTGGTAGGGGTGGTGGTGGTGTGGAGTTGTGGAGCAGAAATTTTGGCCAAAGGAATCCACACACCCCTCCCTCTCTCTGTTCATTTTCCTCTCTTTAAGAAGTGTCTCTGCGCCATCTCCGACTTTTGGGGCCCACCCAACGGTTCTGGAAGAGAAAGGCTCCGGCCAGGAGCACGCACTCATCCTCTCGTCCAGGAGGAAGGGGTCAGCCCCCGCCAGGGATCGAGCGCAGCCATCCCGCATCCGCAGTGGGTCAGGCACCTGCCTTAGGCTGGAAGGAGTCGCCCAGGGGGGCTAGGGCGCTGGCGGGGTGGGGGCGAGGCGGGGAGGCTGTTCTGCGTTGGCCCAGAGGCACCCTGAAGGTGGGGGTTGAGGAAGGGGCTTCAGAGAAATCTCTAGGGCATTGGGACAAAAGCGTGTGTGCGTGTGTACTGTAAAGTTGGACGCGCCCATTTGCTTTCCCAGCAATTGAGCGCGCGCGCGCGCCCTTCACACCAACCACACCGTTGGGCACATAAAAGTGGGGCCTGAATGCGGCTGAGTGATAATTTACATACTTTCTATGTGACCAGATTATTCCCCAACGCGCTCGCTTCCAAGCCAGAAAATCAATTAATACCTTTTTCCCCCTGGTGCTAAGCTTTTCCAAATCCACATCCACCAAGATAAAGGCAGGCGGAACCACCTTCGAAAAGTGGCTTTAATAAAAATAACTCCACAAACCCGCCTCTGGGGCTTCCAGGGCCTGCATTTTCTTCTCGGTCCCTTCCTTTGCAGGCTGCAATCTGAAGAACGCCTCCCTTTGCAAAACTGAAGGGGCGGCCGCCTGCGACAGGCAAAACCTTAAGGGTTTGTGGGCATCCAGGTTTACCTCCCTCTTCTAAAGAGCCAACGCTACGTTAGCGTCTGTAGTTGGCAGTTAGGAACTCGTAATGGAAAGGGATAGGAGGGAGAGGGCATTGTCCTAGTAAGAAACTACACAGAATAAACGTTATTTAGTCAAGTCCTAACTCCTTTTGGAGCGGATAACCAGGTTGACGTCTCAGACTCAGACTTTTGTGTATAGTTCATTAAACTTAAAAAAATATTAAGATCAGGTAACTCCAGAAAGAAACATTCTAAGGGGGACGGAACTGTTCTAACAAGTACATCTGTCAACCTTTTAAACCCTAGACTTCTGGCACCGAGGATTTGGGGGCGGGGCAACTCGGGGGGCGGGACTACTTGGAGACGGAGGGGAGGCTCCTGGAGCGCTGCTTTTCTGTCTCCGCCCCCTTGATTTTGCATTCGGTGTTTCCAGGCCAGCTCCTGCCTTTACACCACACCCGCTTATGATCGGGTTTGAGAGATGGGCGGGGGTGGGTGGGTGGTGTTAGCACTGGCGCGGAAGTTGTGATGTCTGAATTTCACATCCCTTCTTACCTCCCAACCCTCATCCACCTTTTGTCCTAGGTGAAATCTGAATTTGAATTGAGGAGCGGAAAAGGAATTGGAGTCAGGGACGAACACCCAGCACAGGAACATCAAATCCTTCCTTAATTTCCACCCCCCCACCTCCCACACACCAACGTTCCCCCCGCCCCACCCCGCCCCACCGCGTCCCCACCTCCCGGCTGCCGCCGCCAGTGCCTAAAGCATTCTTTTCTTGCTGGGAGGAAAACAGGTATTTTGTATATTAATATGTTTTACCATTTACCGGAATCAATCATATCAAGTTAAGAGCAATGGGTGTGCACATGGGAGGGACATCAAAGCCCCTACGCAAAAGGCATTAGCGACCAAGGGTGCGTACGTGTGTGTGTGTACGTGTGTGTGTCAGGGTAGGAGGACAGAAACGTCAGGAGGGATTGGTAGTGGGGCCGGGGGCTGGGAGGGACAAAGGTGGAAACAGCACGGAAGACCTGTAACGCCCCTCTCTCCAGGTCCCCAGTTAAAGCAATAATTTAACAAAAGAGATTTCTTTTTTCAAGTTAAGAATACAAACGCAGTGGGTGGGTGGGTGAGGGGTGGTGGGAGAAGCTGATAATGTAACATGCACCCTTCGGACCTTGAGACCGAATAGCTCAGAGTCACTGCTTAGACCAGGGGTAGGGGTGGGGTGAAAAAGGCTGAGGGCAGGGGCTGGAAGGAGCGAAAACCGCCAGAGGCTCGGCTAGACAGCAGCCCAGAGTAGCAGGGTCGGCCAGGGCTCCAATTCCTAGATGCAAGGACCCTCCTTGCCCTCCCCCGCCCCGGGCTGCACCCCGGCTCTCAGCCACTTGCTGGGCAAAGCGCGCGGGGCCAGCCTGTCCCGTGTTCCCGGGCCGTGCGCCGTGTAACTGACTGGCACACTGAGCGCGCTCACCGATCTTGGCTTGCTCGCGGTAGCTCTTTTCGTTGAGGCAAACCCCGCGGCCGTGCAGCAGGGCGTGCAGCGGCTTCTCCTCGTCCTGCCGGGGGAGGCAGCGCAGCCCCTGCGCGCAGCGTTCAGTGTAGACGCCGCACGACTGCCCCTCGGCCAGGGCGCAAGTCATGCAGCAGCCGCAGCCCGGCTCCTTGACCAGCTCGCAGCCCAGGGGGCTGGGGGGGCACATGGAAAGGGCTTTCTCGTCGCAGGGCTCGCAATGCACGAAGGAGCCCAGGCCCTGGGCCGGCCCCGCACAGGAGGCCAGCAGCAGGAGGACAGCGGTGAGCACCATTTTCCTGAGACTCCCCGTTTACCTTGGGGCGGGGCAGGAGGGTGAGAGTGCTGCGAGAAAGGGGCCGAAGGAGCGCCCGGAGGGGGTGGGGGAGATTTTTTCTAGCAAGTAGAGCAGGTGCCCTCTCCCAGACAATTGCAAAATATAGAGAGGGATGGAGGGCTGGGGTGCCTGCAAGCAAGTCCAATTTCAAGGATTAAAGACTAGCAACAGGTTGGGGGAGTAAGCAGCGCCAGGTGCACGCAGAGGGAGATGAGGCCGGAGAAACAGACGCCCAGGCGGACCTGGTCAGAATTGCAGGGGGAGAAAAGACAAAAATTGTTCACCCCAAAGCAACCACCGGGATAATGAGCTCGGAGGCTGTGGAGGAGAAGGGGGTGTGGGGGTGGGGTGGGGGGAGAAAAATGGATTTGCCTTCAAAATTTTTGTTTAAAATCTAAAATACGCCCTGCTTCTTTCTAACCCTCAGCTGCCAGCGGCGCGCGGCTGCCCGCGGAACAGGTAAGAGGAGTCGTCGGCTGCTGCGGCGACGGTGAGAGAAAATGTTGAAATCAAGAAATTAAAAAAAAAGAGCCCCAATCCAAAACCCTAACACCTCTTTGCTCCCACTCTGCCACCACCTATTCGAAATTCGCAGGTTCTGCGTGAAGCCCGGAGAAGGGTGCAAACGGAGGAAGGGGTAATTAAAAGGAGCAAAAAAAAAAAAAAAGAAAAAAAAGAGAAAAAAAAAAAAGAAAAAAAAAGGAGAAACCCCACAGCGCACCGCTCTGCAGCTTTTTCCTAGCTCTTTCCCCCGGCAGAAGTTTCCAAAGAGACTACGGGCTCCGGTGGAGCAAGCGCTTTTAAATAGACGGCCCCTGGCTGCCAGCCAGTTCGTAGCTGCAATTTGAGCTCCCCAACACCCAACCCAGCGAGGATGCCAAGGAGCTTTGCTGTACAAACTCACACGGCGTGGGGGTGGGGAGAGGCCTTCTAGACACACGGGGGCTCCCCTTCACTCCCCGAATAGTGCCCTCCTCCCTCTGGAATGTACGAAGGGGGCATGGGGGACAGGGCTGGGGCTGCCGAGGCGGGGAGGGAGTGGAAGGGGGGGCCGATGGAAGAGGTACTTCTTGGGAGAAGGGTGGACACAATGAGGAGTAACCCGGTCTCCTCCTCCCTCTCACCCCTAACCAGCCAAGCCCGGGCGCAGGGAGAAGCATTTTCTTACTAGCCAGCTGGACATATAGAGTACCCAAGAAATTCTTCCTAAGCTTTGGGAATGGCTGTCTGCTAGTACCTAAGTTACCACGTAAGGTGTGTATGTGTGCGTGTGTGTGTGTGGGGGGCGGTGTTAATGTGGTATGACCAGCCATGGGTGACGAGTTGCATTAAAAAAAAAAAGAAAAAAAGGAAAGCTGCATTTCCCCCTCAAAGTCTGGCGAAGGGGATATAATGAAGGGTGTTTCTCTTGCTGGTGGAGTGAGAGATGGTCATTCTCCTTCAGCTACGTTGTGGGCCCAGGGAAGCTGTGTGTGTGTGTGTGTGTGTGTGTGTGTGTGTGTGTGTGTCTGTGTTGTGTGTACTTGGAGGAAGGGACATTCATACAACAGCAGTGCGGGAGCAGTGAGTTATAGAGACTGGCACTTTGGAGAAAATTCTAAGCCTAAAAATCTTGCCTGGTGTCTTACAGTGTCCTGGTGTGGGGTTTTAGATGAGAGGAAGGGATTGTAGTGCCAATTTCCCTCCATTCTCTTTTAAAGGGGCATTTCTATTGGGTAGGATCTCATCCCTGGAGGGAATGGGAGGCGGATGGGAGGGCTGGCCACCTTGTTATAAAGTTAATTGGCACAGGCAGGCACATCCCAGGAATATGAGCTGACAGGGCCACAGGTCTTGCTCTGAAAAGATCCTGATTAGGAACATCATTATCCCTCTTGAAACCTCAGGCAACCTATTCAGACACTATGTCTGCAGCACCCCCTTTTTTTTAGCTAAAGTCTTAAAGGAAGGAAGGTGGTGATTTCAGTTTTTTTCTGAAACTGACATGGATGGGCTATGGACTGTGCAGGCAGATCAGAGAAATCACAGGACCAGTCATTGCGGCCCCATCCTGAAGTTCTCGGGGTGGGACTCACCTCTTTTATTTTTCCTTCCTCTTTAGAAATGCTCTTTCCTTTAGAGAAGGGGCTGCATTTCATGAAGTTTGCCACTAGACTGCACCCTTATCTATGATAAGGATTCTTTCTGCAGGACCGCCCTTAAGAAAATACTTCTCTTGCTGGTTTGCTTCAAGAGCATCTCGTTCTAAGCTGTTAACACTCCAGATCCTGTTCTCTCTGCTCACTTATCTATTTGCCAAAAGGCATATTTTGAAAGAAGACTAAAGTTTAGAGTTGTGCCTTTGTTAGTATCGCCAGAAGGGTTTCAGGTGTTGGCTGGGTGAGAGAGGAGAAGCTGTGTATAATGATTTTAAAAAAAGGCAACAGAGCCCTTCATGTTGCCTCTTCCCTCTGGGGGCTTGATAAGGTCAGGAAAAAATTAATATTAAAAAATTCGAGGAGCCTGGGAGATGGTGTGTTATTTTTCCTTTTGCATCAAGTTCAGACTAGAAGAGTGGCCGAGCAGGGTGCGGCCTGTGTTCCGGTCCCTGCTCCTATTTCTGCACCAACTCCACAGCAGACCCGGCTGCGGGCACGCTGGTAGCATTTGAGATGAATGGGGAAATTGTGGCGCTCCTTCCAGAGAGGCTTGAGTTGCCTGGTTTCAGCCTCCCTCTATTCTGAGAGAGACGGCCTCTGGTGACATGTCTTTTTGTCTAGCCGACTTCCAGTGGCTGGAAAATAAAATGTGTGAGGACAGGTAAAAGAAAGAGGGGCATGATTCATAGGGAAGGCAAAAAGGCTGTACAGAGAAGGAAAGAGGCGGTGGTGGTGGGAGCTGGTCCTTGGGGTAGGGCTCAGCGGGGCCGTGGAGACATTGTACCCTGCAGGGCTATCATAGGGAGTAGCCACTCTGTGTGTCACTTAGTAATGGGCTTATGTCATGAGGGGTTGAGAGTTGACTGATTGGGCGGGAGCTGCTGTTCAGGGGGCCCTGGGGAGGCTTCCTAATAGGGCATAGGAGGAAGAATTCTTAGTAGCCTCGGGCTGTGTACAGTGGTTTGGTCCAAAGGTGGGGACTGGCCGGATGGGTTTGCTTTTAAGAGTCCAGTGTTCCGGGATGCTGGATTATGGGGTATGCTTATGAGCCTTCCTTGATTCCATTTCCACCCTCCTCCTTTCTGAAGGCCTAGATCTGTTCACTTTCAAAGACTGATTCTGGAAAAAAACAGTTTGCATTAATGAATTTAGTCAGGAAGACCGCATTTATTCCTGGCAGATGCCAGTATCAGAGACCAGGTTCCTTTCCCTCCCTCATTGCTGACTGGCTTTCCCTTCCATGACCTCCCTACTCTTGAAAGACCTGAAACTCTTTCAACCACAGTTTTCTTGTAGAAGTTAAATATCATCCACTGTGTCTGCCTCTCTAGAGATCACCTCTCCTCATTCCTTTAAAAGGCTGACTGCATATCAAAACCAAGTTTCAAGAAATGCGACTGACTAAAGATTTGTGCTTTTATATTGACAGCTTTACAAAACACACATAACATTTAAAAAAAATGTGAGTCCTTTTCTGTATTTTTTGTGAGTTTTCTGAATGATTTTCAAGTCCTGATAACATGGTTTTGGAAAGCTACACTTTTACTCAGACACAAAGGATCATGGATGCCCCTGGTTGGAAAGGAAAAACATTAGCTAAGGGTCTTGTCTTCATTCTTTCCGATGTGTTGCTCTCTCTACTGTCTCAGACAGACTTGTGGAAACCATTCCACACAGTGAGTAATTATTCTGTTTTAAAGACCTTGTGAGATTGACATCAGTCCCTTTCCCAGAGGCCAGCATGCATCAGGCATACTAATTCTACCGCTTCATCTTGGTACAAAATTAAGGTAGGATGACCTTCAAGAAATAAAGTACCCAGTGCTTAGGTCCCTCCCCAGGTAAGGGAAGTTCAGCAAGACAGGTCTGCGCAGGAGAGCTGCTCCAGTCGGCTTTGTTGCAGGGACACAGCTGAAGGCTAGGTGGCAGAATAGATACACCATTGAAAACACGCCTCCTTTCTCAAAGGGAAAGCAGCACTAGTGGAAGTCTTTAGCCACGGAGACGGTGGTGGGGTGGGTGGTAGTGGGAGAAGCAAAAACGCGAATGCGGGTCACAGGAACACCCCATGAGTCCAGTGTGCGCCACCCAGCCGTGGGACTGTCCTCTTGCCATGACAGCACTAATCCAGCCAGAGACAGGAGATCCTCTAGGTCCCACCAGCAGCTACATTCATAAGCACTTTACACTGCAGACAGGTACAGCCAGGTCAGCACTAGATTACTTTGGGTTCATGAAAGGATGCCTTAAAGCTTCTCTGATGAATAATTAGAATATGACCTTCAGCCAAAGTGCATAAAAATATCCTTTAAAAATGTTTAAATGTTAATTATGGTATATTTCAAATATTCAAAGACCAGAAGATAATATAACAGATATCCTCTCCTTGCCACACACATTTAATATGTTAACATTTTGCCAGGCTTGTTTGAGGTTTTGTGGAAAAGAAATGCTAAGTTACAGAGAATATCTCATCTCCTGCTCTGACCAGTGTCCATCTTCTCTCTGCAGAGGTAGCTTTCCTGAAATGGTTTTGCATCCTTTTTGCATAATATTTTTCTAGGTTTTTTTAAAATGAAGTTTTCTTCTAGAAGAGAGTTGGAACAATTCTGAGGGTAAAACCACATGCTACTCAGAGTTAATTTTGTAGTAGTGCTTGCTATGGTGGGAATTTAACTAGAGTCTAAATTGATCTTAGGGCTGACTTTCGAAAGAGCTCAAACTAAATACGATTCAGAGTGACTTTATATTTCTAAGTGAGCAATATATAATTTAATAGTTTTAAGAAATGACGTTTAGGAGGGTTCTGGAAAGAGATGGGGGAATAGGGAGAGCTCCATAAATATAGACACTGGTTGGAAGCTTCCTATCTTTCTGGATCATGGAATCTGGCATGTTCCTACAATGTCTTTGAATTCTGGAAAAAATGAGATTAACCAGGAAAACTGGTCTGTTGTGAATGAGCAGAGGGTTGGTAGATTCAGATCTAAGAGGGAGAGAGATGGGCTAGGTAGGGAAGATGAAATCACATGGGTTAGGAGAGAGACAGAGTGTGAACTGCTTGAAGCAGGTTTAATATGATGCGTTTGAGCTGTGAAAGGCCAAATTAAATCTCAGCATATGGCTGAAATCTAGGTTTCATCATATTTCAAGAGGGAGAAGCCATAGAACTAACTTACCACCACTAGCCCATAGGGCATCTTTGTATGAATTAGGAAAAGATGGCCCTCCTTAAGGCACTTTACTTCTGTTTGTCATAAAATTGTTATAAAATACAGATTTTGTTAGAATAAGAGACTTTACTACCCTTCTAGGAAATTG